TAATAATAATATTAATAATAATAACGGTAACAATAATAATGAGAAGGATATAATTATAGTTGCATGCAAATTACGCTCAACACCAAGCTGTATGACAGTGTGCTTCATAATCTATTTTAAGCTCTTTTCAATACACAATAATTCATTTGTTAGGTGAGATGTTCTGAATATGTTCGTTGAGATAAACCCTGACTCACTGAGTTACTGTATATCATAAGGAGGATGGAGGTACTTGTTAAAATAGTGGGGTAAATGATTGGAAATGTTTCATTCTTTTATTGACTGAGAGGCTGGCAGCGTTGGCCCTGCTTGATTTGGAGAACCTACACTACATGGGCGGCAGAAGGCCAGCAAAACGTTCGGGGGAAGGAGGGAGGGGGGGTGTCGATGGGAGAGTGGATTGGGATTGTTCGGGTCGGAATAGGGGAAAATGGTAAATTTCGTGAGTGGAGGGGGTGGATTTGGAGGAAAGGAGTTGATTTGGGAGAAGGGGAAGAGTGAATGAGTAGGGAGTGGATAGTGGAAGGCTGGAGATGGAAGAGAGTAGATGGAGGAGAGGGGGAAGAGAGAATGGATGGAAGGAGAGAATGGATGGAAGGAGAGGAGGGAGTGGATGAAGGGAGGGAGTGGTGGAGGGGGAGGGAAACAGTGGATGGCGGGGGGTGGGGTTCAGTGTGATTGCTCTTAGCTTTTACCAATAACCCCCTTTTGACCAAAAATTTACAAGCGCTTGATTTCGCTTCGTCGTGACACCATGTTTTTTTTCCAGGAAAATCTGTGGAAGAAACGAGGCATCACAATGACAACGTGTAAGTACGGGATGGCCTACTTCGGCAACGGGTTCACGGCCAATGTGTCCATCTACGCCCAGGACGGCTCTGTTGTGGTCAGTCAAGGAGGGGTGGAGATGGGACAAGGACTGTATACCAAGGTAAGTTCTGCTGGGTGGGTAGAGAGGGAGGTCTGGGAGGTGGAGAGGGGAGGAGGGAGGAGGGGATAAGTGGTTAGGGGTGGAAAAGGAGTGGATGGGAGAAGGGCTGTATACCAAGGTAAGTTCTGCTTGGTGGGGGGAGGGGGAGGTGGAGAGAGAAGGAGGGAGGAGGGGATACGTGGTTGGGAGTGGAGAAGAAGTGGATGGGAGAAGTATTTTACACCAAAGTTGGACGAGGAGAAGGGGATGGGGGAGGGGGGGGGAGGGAGGTGACTACGCAACGAATATTTGACCGCACTATTACTTACTAACTGCTTACTGATCCCATAATCCACGAGGATCGTAGAGGCTCTGTATGATAGAGATCCTCGTCAGGTGCCTCCACTTTTCACGTTTCTTTTGCGAGCACCCGAGTTTGGGCGAAGGATCTCTCTGTCCACTTCGCAATGTTGCTGGTCTACCTCTTGCTTTGCCTTTCAAAGTACTATAGTGCTTTCAAATACAGGCAATATCTCGAACTGCTGGTTGACTCGATAATTTTGGTGAGAAGTGGGAATCATTGGGTAGTGTTAGGTATTACAAAATGCCCTTCCTAGTGGATGAAATGAACATCTTAGCCTCTTACGGGTGGCAAAAGTGGGCGTTGGCTATAAAAACTTCTATAAATTTCTAGAACTACCGTTTTATGATTTGAAGCAGCTTTAT